ACAAGGTGAAATTCAGACAAGTGCACGTTACTTCACTTAAGAAGGAACAATCAAATGCACAACTGCAAAATGGGGAATAACTAGCTGGGCAGTAGTACTGCAGAAAAGGATCTGGGGGTTATAGTGGATAACACTGAATGAGTCAATGTAATGCAGCTGTGAAAGGCTGACATGTAAGAGACTGGATATAATTGTCCTGCTCTACTTGGCACTAGTGAGGACTCGGCTGAAATACTGTCCAATACTGGGCACCACACGCCAGGAAAGATTTGGAGAGTCCTGAGGAGAGTAGATGCTCACTGAGGCAAAGGACACTTCCCCTCCCCACGCCACTTTAAAAAAAATAAAATAAAATAAAAAAGCTGGTTGAAGAGTTACACTAGTTGAGATGACTTCTCTTCTATCTCTCCTGGCCCCCCTTTTGACAGCCATGTGGCTTGGAGGAGTAGAAGAGACAAAATGCCTCCTTCTGTTGTGCATCCTTGGTGTGTAAGAGTGTGGAGCTTCAGATTAGAGCCCTGTGCAGGACTTTTTAAAATCTCATTCCCACCTATTCCTGCTGTTATGGCAGCTGGTCCTACGGGATCAGAGTCCCGCTGCAGGGCTCTATGCTAGTCCCAGGCAGGGCTCTACTTTCGATTGTTGTAAGGTCTTACAAGACAGAGGCTGAGAAGATGGAGGTCTAAACATGTCCAGAGAAAACACTGGTAGAAATCGCAGCATCCGGAGTTTTGGTTTTTCATCAGTTTGGTGCTCCTTCACATCACTGATGAATGGACTCTTACCCTTGCCTTTTATATCTCCCGCTGGCTAGTAGATGTTTGGTAAGTCTTTCAAGACCTGCTAGTAGCCAAGGCTTTTCAGCAGCCAAATGCAGCTGCATAATCCCTCCCCCACTTGTACCAAGCAAAAAACAATTTTTTTTGGGTGGGGGGAGGAACACTTCCCCTCACACTTCCCCCGAGTGCATTTTTGTTCCAGATCTCATCCATGTTGCAAACTCAAGCCTGCAACTTAGTATCATGCTCAACTTTAGTCATGACTTAACTAGAATTAACCTTTCATAAACGCAAACTCTTAAGTAATGATACTTGATGGACCCATTCCCCAGAGTTCAGTTTTGAGGTAGGAAACTAAATCTCTTTTGTGTATGCCTCCAACTTGAATTCATGTAGCTGTGCCTAATAGTATTAGTTGTGTGGAAAATACTAGTTGAGGAAACTAGGCCAGACCTGACTACTGAACTTGGAAAACTGAATACACTGAGACATACAGGCAAGTATGTCTTAACAGTGCTGTGTGGGATAGGTGTAAAGGGTTGATTCTAGAGTGCTGTGTGACAAATTCTGTTTATAGATCCCTGGTGGAATAGGCTCTAACACTAACTTAAACATGTGTTCTCTGCAATACTCATCTTTGATATAGGACCAGAACTATTTAGCTTTGACTCTATCAAGGCCCAGACAATATACACAGTTGTAGGAGTTGAGGAAATCTGAGACTCTTATCACAGGATCTGCCTGACTTCTAAAGTTTGCACATCTGCTGTTGATGGAATGAAGACAATATCATGTTTCCTGTGAAATTCAGTTAATCTTGGGACTGTAAGTAGAAAGGTTTTAAAGATCATTCTGTTCCTATGAAAGCTAAGAGGAGAAAAGAGCCTTGTGGTAATTATTCGTTAAGCTTATTTCTGTAAGAGCCGAGGGAGGTACTGATGCAGGGTGCTCAAAATGAAGTGTAGTGCCTTCAAGGGAAAATGAGGTGTCAGGCAGGAACTTTGACAGTTCCCCACTGCTTTGAAAGCCTTTTTTCAGCACTATAAACTCTGAGCACTACCCTTTTTTATTTAAGCAAGCCATGAGATATCGTGTTCAGAATGCTTGGGAGCAGAAATGTCTTTTTCATAGACTGGAGTGCATGTGTTCTTAGAACTGGATGACAATAGACAGCTCTTACCAAGAATCAAACAGTTGGTCACTGTCAGGCCACTGGAGTCTTTAGGCTTTGTGGTAAACTATTAAATGTCTTACTGTGCCACAAAACAATTGGAATCCGTAGGTGCTCTACTCAGAGGTGTCCCTGTCTGAGAGCAGGATCCAGGATACTGTAGGCCTGCCAGAAATAACATGTCAGAACCAGCAGATGTTGGCTAGGATTCTGCTATCAGTATGTCAAATGGTGGCAGCATCATTTGTTTATACCTGGTATGTTCCCACAAGAGACAGCTGTCACTGGATCCTGAGATACCTGCAAAAACTACTCATGCAAGTACCTGCTGCATTGCATCCTGGTGGTGGGGGACCTCTACCTCCTGGGCTTGATTGAGATTATCTATAGACTCTCCGTGGGATCTGGACTTCCACATTCCTTCAGCTCAAATTGGAATGACCGCAATGTGCATTATGGTTTGACTAGAACCCAGTCAGGAAAGCCTCACACCCAAGATGCTTGCTTTCTTTGTGAATTACAGCTATACACAAATCATCTGGAGATTAGAGCAAACTAAAGCCTACATGGACCTGGTATTCCACCAGGTGTAACTTAAAGTGTGGGGGGAAAATAGGATCATGCCTGCGTTCAGAAGCCCTGTTGGTGTGGCATATTGAGCCATTTCTTTCAACACACTTCTAGTGGGAAAGGAGAAGCAAATTGGTATCAACCCTCAAATGATCCCTGGAACAATTATTTTAAACAAATCCAAGTAGTACCTCTGCCCACCCTGAACATGTTCACTATGGGGACACGTAGCAGCAGCAACCACAGCAGGGGCAGAGGTTTGTGAAGTGATCGGGACTATGCACCAAAGGTGGTGGGCATGACAAATGTTATAGAATAGTTGCTGACTTTGATTGATGGGGCTTTCTAAACTGCACTGGGGCCATTGATTGGACTCGTGGATATAGATCGCTCTCCACAAGGAGCGCGCATACGTAAACTACAAAGGGTATGACTCAGTCGTTAGGCAGGCTCTAGTTGACCACTGGGATGCACTGGCAGGGGGCATACCACCAGGGTGTTCTGGAGATAGGGACTTTACCTTCACGGACAAACTTAGACGTTGTTCCCACCAAATGACATTATAAATGGAACACTGTCCCCACTATTACTCTAGGGGACACTGCTTACCCATTGTTGCCATAGCTTATGAATCCATACCATGATTTCAGAGGACCTGGCAGAAGAAGGGTAAGCTGCAGGCCCAGTGACTGTAGAATGGTGGTGGAATATGCCTTTGAAATCCTGTTGGGGCTGCCTTCAGAACCGTTTTTATGCCAGTGTAGTCCGCACCGTCTGCATTATTGTGGCTTGCTGTGTTTTGCACACAGGGAGGAGGAGGGATCTTTTTGTTAGGAGTGGACTCAAGATGCTGCCAGATTTCTGCATAAGTGCACGCAACCAGATAGTGCACCTGTGCTGACTGCTGCTGGATCCACATGCACAACAGAAATCAGGGATGCCTTGTGTGCCCACGTAATGGATTTGCACATTGGAGTTTTGAATAAGCCCTTGCATATTAACATGAATATTTAAAGGAAATAATCTCCAACTTTTGCTGGATCTTCAATTTTAGTGCTCAAGGATAAATGTGAAGGTGAATTTTCAAGGAACAACAAAAGTTTGTGCCTTCTCCCTTTTTTCTAGAGAATCTTAAAGATGTGTTTTCTGTTTGGGCTTTTTATACAGTATTGGGAATACTTAGTCTTGACTTTCTTCACTTGCAGGAGAATCTGAATGAAGGTTTGAGGTTGACCTGAGTTGTAGCACTCTTAGCACCCTGTTGATGGAGAAGGCCAATTCTGGTGCTTTCAGGGCTAAGTTGGGACTTGCTGCTATTAATGTCTGTCTGTATGTATAACGTGAAACTGTGACAAAGATATGGTGACCTTTATTCTCTGCTAGGCCAGGAAGAATTGTCAGCTCAAGAAAGAGAAGCTGTTTCTAAATCTTTGACTTTGAAAATACCATCTTAATGCTTCATTCAAGACACTTTCTTCCAGTGGTGCAAAATCACGCCTGCATTTTCCATGCCCATTTGGGATATATACATAAATTTATCTTGCCTACTACTTCGTGTTCTCTTAAAATGGCTTCTAGCTCTGTATGTTCAATGTTAGCTAATTATTAACAAGCAGTGTTGAAAGTCCAAACTTCCCAATGAACTTACTTAGTGATTTAAAATCAGTGTTGTGTTGGAATTGGAAAGAAACAGTTCATAAATTTCAACACTGTCTTTTTCAGTGTAGCTCTGTGAAACACTAGGTAATATTAAGTTAGTACAATTTGGTAACCAAAATTGTCAGACTGTCAATCTTTTGTGTCAGTGGAAATATAGTAGTGTTCTAAAAATAAGTTTTATGTCCCCCTTTAACATACAATTTTTATGTTAATTTCTATTTAAGTGAGAAGAGGTAGCAAAGATCCTTGTTTGTGACAGAAGCTACATTTCCAAAGGTCTTAGAGAGGGTTTCAGAATATTAATGCTGAAAAGATAATTTTGGAATGCAAGACTCCTGTACAATTGAAAGAAAGTTGAGGTGCTAAGATACAGATGCTGCTCTGCAGTGTGTTACATATGGAACTCATAAAAATAGACAGTTTCTATGTCAAAGAGAACTTGTGCCATTGGGGACAAGATCCATATGAAATGGAGAATATTATTAATTCTGACAGCTGGCCCAAGACAACTTACAATACCTGCAAAGTCGTCATTCATAGCAATACGATAATGCCTTGACCCATGCGTCATCAGATTAGTCATGGCAAAAGTATATGTGCAGTGTTGTAGCCATGTTGATTCCAGGGTATTAGAGAGACAGGGTGGGTGGGGAAATATCCTTTATTGGACTAACTTATCTTAGTGAGAGACAAGCTTTTGAGCTACAGAGTTCGTCAGGTCTGGCAAAAGTATGTGACCTGTAATTTCATTATCAGAATTCAGAAAAGTGTTATATGTTTAGCTTGATTCACTAATTGTCTTTTCAAATGTTAATCTCTAGATAAGAGTTTTGAGGAGGATGCCCTGGTAGACTCCGATGCCCTGGTCGACTTGGAAGATGAAGCAGATTTGAAGACGCCTTGCCCTATACAAATTGTTCTTGCGCATGAAGATGACCATAACTTTGAACTTGATGAAGAGGCGTTGGAGAACATTTTGCTTCAGGAACACATAAAAGATCTCAATATAGTAGTTGTCTCTGTAGCAGGGGCTTTCCGCAAAGGGAAATCATTTCTACTGGACTTCATGCTTAGATATATGTACAACAAGGTGAGTAGTTGAAGGCTGTTCCTGCAGGAATAAATAAGATACCACCTAATTTGCTAGCTCTCTGCTTTGGCGACCTTGTTTATATACCATACTCTTTTTAAAAAAAAAAAACAGTAAACCATCAAAAAAACCCCAAAACCCTGCCTTTCTGACTCCAGAAATATTGACATGGTGTCAAGTTGGCGGAGCTTGTGAAGGCCTTACACTCATCATGATGCCATTTCTCTGTCTGTAATGTGATAACATTTGAATATAGCATCCATTCAATTCAAGTATTTCAGGGAATAGTCTGGGCATCAATAACCAGAGCCCTATTGATTTTGGGGGAACCTAAAGAGGAAAAATGGAGCATGACCATCAGATTAGCACATCTGCAAGCACCTCTGCAATTGTCTCAAAGAATTGGTTGATGATGCCTGTTAATTCCTTGCAACATAACAATGCCTCTATCTCATCTCTGCTCTGAACATCCTGAATCACTCATCTCCCAGAAAGAGAATAATGGCAGCGGATAGCAGGGAGGGGAATTAGGGTATCCTAATATAGGGGGAGGCATGGGAAGAATAGGGGTGCACACAGACCTCTGCCATGTGAGGGAGGAAGAAGGAAAAGGGGCACATAGCATTTCAGGCCCTGAAATATGAGGGGGTGGCGGGATGGCCCACAGGGATCTGATGAGGTTCAATAAGGATAAGTGCAGGGTCCTGCACTTAGGATGGAAGAACCCAATGCACAGCTACAGACTAGGGACCGAATGGCTAGGCAGCAGTTCTGCGGAAAAGGACCTAGGGGTGAGAGTGGACGAGAAGCTGGATATGAGTCAGCAGTGTGCCCTTGTTGCCAAGAAGGCCAGTGGCATTTTGGGATGTATAAGTAGGGGCATAGCGAGCAGATCGAGGGACGTGATCGTTCCCCTCTATTCGACATTGGTGAGGCCTCATCTGGAGTACTGTATCCAGTTTTGGGCCCCACACTTCAAGAAGGATATGGATAAATTGGAGAGAGTCCAGCGAAGGGCAACAAAAATGATTAGGGGTCTGGAACACATGAGTTATGAGGAGAGGCTGAGGGAGCTGGGATTGTTTAGCCTGCAGAAGAGAAGAATGAGGGGGGATTTGATAGCTGCTTTCAACTACCTGAAGGGGGGTTCCAAAGAGGATGGCTCTAGACTGTTCTCAATGGTAGCAGATGACAGAACGAGGAGTAATGGTCTCAAGCTGCAGTGGGGGAGGTTTAGATTGGATATTAGGAAAAACTTTTTCACTAAGAGGGTGGTGAAACACTGGAATGCGTTACCTAGGGAGGTGGTAGAATCTCCTTCCTTAGAGGTTTTTAAGGTGAGGCTTGACAAAGCCCTGGCTGGGATGATTTAACTGGGAATTGGTCCTGCTTCGAGCAGGGGGTTGGACTAGATGACCTTCTGGGGTCCCTTCCAACCCTTATATTCTATGATTCTATGATCTTATGGGGAGGAATGGAAGAATGCATGGAGCCCCTGCTGGGTGCACAGCTGACAGAAGCTATGACATGTGATGCATTAGTAATACTGATCTTCAGTTCTGAAGAATGTTCAGATATTCTTTGTAAGTATTTTTGTTTCCTACAGTGGTTAGCTTAACTTATTGTTGGTGTCACAGCAGAAATTGGCATGGAGGAAGGATTTGAGAGAGGGTAGTGGCTTCCAGATGAGATGAGGGAGAATGCTATATGTATAAGGTGCAGCATGGAAGAAGATGGATTTGTGGAGAAGGTGGACTAATTCACTATAGCAACAATATTTCAGACTTTAAAAAAGCATGATTGCATAATACTTGTAATTTTTGACTGTTTACTGTTTCAGTTTGTGGCCTTTAAAAAGAAGATAAATGGCTTCAATTCAGACATTGAATTAAGTAAGGGGAAGAGTGGCAAAGTTTTAACGGCAGTTAAGAGCAATTAAATGTTTTCTAGATTTCTCAGTTACAGAAAACAAACTTGTAATCTACATATCAGTACTTATATAAGCTAACAACAGTGCACATGTGTTCAAGTATCTTTCATCTGCTCACTGAACAGTGACCTTGAACAGCCATCTCCCATGGACAGTAGAAACAATATGTAATACAAAATTAACTGCCATGCTAGGGGGCCTCAAAGGCATTCTGGTGTGTGCTCATCAGTCCTTGACAGTGAGAACCAGGGTAAATTATTGCCTTTTTAAAAAGTAAACTAAGGGTGAAATGCTGACCCTACGAAAGTTGATGAGGTGTTTTGACATTGACTTCAAGGGAACCAGATTTCATCCTAAATCTTGACACTCAATCCTAGGCCACTTCAAATTGCTGCTGTCAAACTATTTGCTGCTTTAAAATAATGGCAGATGTGCTGATTAATGAGCATTTTGGGGAAGAGAGCAAGATATTGCCACAGTTTAAGGCCTTACTAAGAGTTGGGTGAAATAACTCTCTTGTAAATTTGGAGTGTAAGCTTTTCCATACCCATGACCTCATTATCTTGTATTCATCTGTATGGCCAATAGCGCCATGTAAGTAAAACTGAATTTGGTTTGGGTATTTTCCTCTGTGATTAGATCTAATATGGAGGCTTTCCACCCCGCTTGTCTTGTTTTATTCTGTAGTGGTCAGACCAAAACTGTATCTGGATTTTAAAAAAGGGATGGATAACTGATCCCACCTATACACCCTTGTGCAACTAGTTAAATGCACCATGGGGGTGGGAGATGGTGTTTTTTTACATTCCTCTGAAGAACGTCGATCCGACGTTCCTATGGGAAAATTGAGTTACGACATTTTGACTTAAGACGTGATTTTCAGGAACCAATTGTCACAAGTCCAAGGACTGCCTGTATCACTTCTTGGTACCAAATGAGGAACATGCAGAACATTGGAGCAAGGCAACTAATCATCTTTGCTTGATTCAAATAAGGAAACTTACTTCATTTGGAATAGCAGCCTGTGTTCCATAGGCCTTCAAGTTCTGCAGCTGTTGTTTAGTATGTTAACTGGGTTTGCCCTGAGAGAGAGCCCCGTGTTCCATTGTTTAGACAATTGCTACTTCAGAGCTAACAGAGTTGACACCACAACTTCAAAGTCCAGAATGACCTCTCCTTCACCCTCTTCAGACCAGTGCTGCAGATCTTGAACCAGAGCGATCTACCAGACAAATGTATATAGCAAAATGGAAGAGATTGACTTTAGGCAGTATGATGGAAGAAAGTCAGAAAATAAAGCCTCATTCAAGTAATGGGTAAGAAAAGTTCCATACTCCAGATGTTAGAAGAGGTTTGGCTTTTTACCTGGATCAGACTAGGCCTTTCAGGTCTTTGTCTCAGCTCTTTGTTGCAGTTTCAGACAGAGTAAAGGGCCGCCTACTATCCACCCAGAGGATCTCTTCCTGGATTTGTGTGTGTCTCAGAGAGAGACCCCGATTTGGCTGATTCTGCACCTCCAAGTAAAATGGGTGCTCACTCAACCAGGTCTTGGGCAATTTCCATGGCCTTTTTGGCTTATGTTCCCATACTGGACATTTGGAACGGAGAAACCTGATTGCCTGTCACATGTTTGCCTCCCACTGTGCCATCTTTCATCAATCTAGAGACTCTGCCAGATTTGGACAGATGGTCCAACAATCCCTGTTCATGTAGGCTCCGAGCCCACTTCCACTTCAAACATCGTGTGAGCCACCTATAGTGGAATAGATGTGCAATCACCCAAAGAAATGGTTACGTATCTTTCTATAACTCTTGTTCTTTGAGATGTGTTGCACATGACCCCTCCCTTTCTGTCCCTTCTTTATCAGCCTTTCTGGTAGGAGGTAACTGGGGGGGAGGGGCGGGCTGTGGGCAGCATGGCCCTTTGTACTGTGTGCAGTGGCATGAGGCACCAGAGGGTTCTTTCGCTCCACCAGCATTTACTGCTAAGGGAAAAATCTCCAGCAGCTATGCCTGAGGCGCGCACACACTTGCAGCAGAATGGACGTGTGCAACACACATCTCCAAGAACAACAGTTACAGAAAGATATGTAATGAGTTATGTTACCCCTGCCTACAGCATGAGGGAGTCTTGCCTTTGCTTAGCTGGGTATCAGCTCTCTAACAGCACCAGCCTGTTAGTCACTCAAGTGCTCTCCTCTGCGCTATGTCAGCCCTGACTTTGCCTTGCAGTTTAATAAATGGTGCACCCCGGTCCCTTTGAAGCATTCCCTTGTGCTACCAGTTCCTGACGCTGGCTACTCACAGAATTATCAAGTCTGCTGTTCCCAAAGGAACAGTGCGCTCCTGCTTGTATGGATTCAATTTAGGATCAGCGCATTGCTTAATATCACAGCACTTTAAACTTATTCTTGTTTTCACTATAAAGGTATTTATCAAACATTCCAGATTCAAGTGATAGTAAGTAAATATATTGGAAACAAACCATTACATGTAAAACAAATCATAACGTGCTTTCTAGAGGTTAAACTTAACTAACAGGTTAATATCCTGTCTAAAGAAGCTTCGCACACAAAGTCCATTGCAGCATTTGCAACCAGATTGGCTGAGGTCCTGTTTCCATGAATGTAAATGTGCTATCCACTTATTTCTTAGGTGCAGGATGACAGGGTGTCATCTTTGCCTCGTGCATGTGCCCTCAAAGTGCATTGTCTGTCCTCAGACAGGGCTTGTGTTTTGCTGTGTGGTGCTTCCCTGTTGACTTAACATCTCTTTGTTAACATTTACCTTCCTCTGTAAATAGGCTTAATTTATATCCTAGGTGCCGACTCCATGGGTGCTCAGGGCTGGAGCATCCACAGGGAAATGGTGAGTGCTAAGCACCCACTGGAAGCCCCTCCCCCAGCGGTCCTGCGATCAGCACCTCCCCTTTCCTCCCCCCCAGTGCCTCCTGCTCACTGGGATCAGCTCTTTCGTGGTGTGCAAGAGGCTGTGGGGCGGAGGAGCATGGACATGGCACACTTGGTGGAGGGGGGGCAGGAAGAGGCAGAGTGGGGATGGGGACTTGGGGAAAGGGGTGGAGTGGGGGCAGGGCCTGGGGCAGAGCCAGGGTTCAAGCACCCCCAGCAGATTGGAAAGTCGGCACCTATAATTTACATCCCAAAAGAGAGAGACATTTCTTACCTCTTGTCTGAAGGAAAACCTGTCTTTCACCTCTGCGGGTGATGAATGCCTTGATAAAGACTTCAAAATCATATTTTTTATATAGTATCTGTACATACATGTCAGAATAATATTAATGACCAGTGTGACCATGGCTTTTATTTATGACCTCACATGATGCTTTTTGGTGAACCAGGATGTACATACCAGAAGATATTCCTATAACCCCCTGGCTAGCTGCCAGTAAGGGGTTCTTGGGACACAGGCAGAGAAAATAAATAGATTCAACATCTGCATCTAGTCTTCTGCCAATGGGCCATTTCCTAACCTTTAAAATCAAGCCGTCCCTTTATTAAGATTTGACTTGACTCCTGTATATGCCTACCATCTACCTCTTTGTATGTAGACACACCACAGTGAAAAGATTCATCAATAATCTCTTCCTGCTCTTTCCCACCTCTATGTAAACAGATGCATTTGTGGATTAAATCTGGTGCTTATGAAACTGTTGGACTCTCCCCTATGAGCCACTGCTCTTTATGCTGCCAGTTTTTGAAGACTGATTTCCTCTTCTCAGGAGCATCAGCTAGAACAGTTTGAACTATGGGCTCTGCTGGCTGATTCTTCTTTCTGCAGGGATAGAGAGGCTGTCCCCGCCTTAAATTTTTTTCTAAGGTAGCTTCTGACTTCTACCTACCACACTCTTGACAGTTTACTTCCCTGAATCCTGACCACTACTGGGAGACGCTAGCTCATAAATTCATTATAAAGTGAGCTCTTAAGTATTACCGGGGCAGGTTGAAACCTAGACAGCAACTCCCAAACTGGTTTGTGGACCACTTGCTGGTCACTACCATTGTTCTTTTCTTCTTGGGTGGTTCTAGTCGTCTGTCTGCCCTTTGAGGGTCTTGTATCTCCTCTCTCGCTGTGGGACCTGAGCACTTCGTGAGCTTTAGTGAGGTGTGGGTGGGGGCGAGGGGGCTAAAATCTATTTTCCTGATGAGTGGATGTAGGGACAAATGTTTTTAGGGACATGAGGCTGAAGTTCCCTTATTCAGGCCCTTCTAGAGTGAAGTAGGTGTTTTAAATACTGCAGCCGTGGATGCACTCAAAATGGTACAGGTAATGAGTCTTTCTGTAGTTCTTTTGAGGTGTACTGTGCATATCCATATGACCCACTCTCCATCCCTACTCTGAAGTCAAAGGTATAAAGTTGAAAGCTAAAAGCAGGTTAGACAAATACCTGTCAGGGATAGTCTAGATAATATTTGTCCTGCCATGAGTGCAGGGGACTGGACTAGATGATCCCTTGAGGTCCCTTGCAGTCCTACGATTCTATCATTCTATGAAATAACTGTTGGTCGCAGCCCCTTATGGGGTGGGGGTATGTGGACAACCCTAAAGGCCAAAGTTTTCTCGAGGGAAGCAGTCAAGACACAGGGGAGTTGGAGCACCACAGGACCTGCAGGTAGTTATCTCAGACTCCAAGTACAGCTGAGCAACCTCTTTTTCTAATACTTTTTGTAACTTGAAAGCCTGTTCTAAGAAACCAGAGAAGTATATGGAAGTGTGCTAAAATACAATCCTACAAGTGATCCTCTTGCTGTTGAGTAAGTGTGTGTCTTTCTCTTAACAGAATTCCTCATGTTGGATAGGTGGGAACAACGAGCCATTGACTGGATTTACATGGAGAGGTGGATGTGAAAGAGAAACAACTGGCATTCAGATTTGGAGCGAAGTGTTTGTAATTGGCAAGTCTGATGGGACAAAGGTAAGCATTTCTATGACTAAATGGACTCATTCTTCTTTATGACCTCTTAAGCTTTTGTTGCCTTCATGAATTTGGTTATGATGTTTAATTTTTTTAAGTGGTCAGATACCCCAGGTTTCTCAGTCACCCTCTTTGTATTAATCCTAATAGTTTCTAAGAATAAAATTTCAATTTATTTATGAGATGAGGTGGTGTACAGGAGGGGAGGAAAGGGAGAAATTCTAGCTTTGATCCAAAGCCTTTTGCCAGAATATATATATATATATATATATTTATATTTTCCACCCTGTTGCTGTTCAGATACTTTGTGGCTATTGTGGAAGGCTTTCTAGAAGTGACTGCTGTTGACCGTCGTGTATAGCCAAATGTTCTGGCAACTGGAAGTATTCTGCAGAAAAAGCTAGTGAATTCTGCAAAAATGAGACGCAGTCGTAGCCTGCAGTTAGGCTCCAGTGGAATGTACACATGGCCACAAAATCCCTGGAGGCCAGGCTTTAAGTGTGTGTGGAAGTTGTTGATCCCTCTCTGTATGGTTCTGGATGTGAGGTTCTTGAGATTTAAGTTTTATGTATAACCTCTTCACAGTGAAGCAAAGGGTCACGTGTTGCATTGTGTGTAGTGAAATATGCAGTGACTGCTGACAACAAGGATTAAATCTTCTTAAGCCTGTCCCCCCCCTGCCTCCCAGAGCTCTTGACTGATATTTTTCATAGGCATGGCACTGCTAGAGCCCAAAGGGAGAGTTGGCAGCTTCATTGGCTGGATAATGTTACAAGTTTTAAGTAGATGGTGGCCTCAGTGAATGTTAGAAAGAACCTTTCATCCTGAGTGGTATAGAGTTGCCTCTGTAACTTCCATGATTTTTAACTCAGGGCTAGCTGACTGGTTCTGTGATTGTAGAATGGTCAAAGTGTGGGATCTTGTCTCTAGCAGCTTGTGTAATGTTACCCATTTGTTCTTTTTTTTCTGCCTTTTATAACTGAAAGAAAAGGAAATATGAATCTATTTCAAAGATCTAGGGGATCAGACAGTAGATGCGTTTTGGAGTCAAGACTGCTTCACTGTTTCATCACTTAATTAATTGTCAACTTACTTAGCAGGAAACAGCTAGTTTTCCTTCAGAAAATGTTTAATTGTTTCATATGTTCTTGAAGTAAGCTTTGTCACACATCTAGTGTTCATGAAAAATGCTGGAGTGTTAGCCCCAGAGACTGAAGTCCTCTGGTGTGTCACAGTCAACAGTAAGGGTCGGCTTTGCTACAGTGCCCTGTAAGAGTGCCTCATTGGTCAAGGTTGAGGATACTTTGGGGGGAGAGGCTAACTCTGTATCTGTGTATCGTTGGCCTCTCTGCAGAATGCCAGTAAGGGTGTCACTCTTGGGTAGTGGTTTGAGTTGTGGACACCTGTCCACTGGGAGCTGAAGTAAGACTGTCAACGCGGTTTTAATGAGTCAACAGAGGGGCAACGACTTCCATTACCTGAACTGGATCTGACCCAGCAGCCTAGAGGTGAAACCATAACATCTTGGTTAATTATTGCTGCTTTTTAAAAATCTTTAGGTGGCTGTACTACTTATGGATACCCAAGGTGCCTTCGATAGCCAATCCACTATCAAAGACTGTGCGACGGTGTTTGCTCTGAGCACCATGACGAGTTCTGTCCAGGTGAGAATAGCTGTGCTGATAAATGGCAGCTTTTAAACCTCTTTGGCTTAGAAGACATCTTAAAAATATATCTGTAGTCCTGCCTTAAAGGGATAGGCAGACCTTTTAGATTTCCATCGCTCATTTAGAGTATCTCAGATGAATCTCTCTTTGGAGCGGAGATTACCCAAACACTACCCCCATTTCAGGTCCCTAGTTCTGTTGCGCTGCAGATTCTACTAGGGGAATCCCAAATTGATTTATATATATATATATATATATATATGTAGTGACACCTCCACAAAGATGCATGGCAAAAATCACTGAGCAGCCCAGCTTATCCAAAGGGAGGGCTGACCCTGCACAACAAGCTCTAAATGGACTACTGCTGCGACAGTTAAACTTCTGTCAAACTTCTTGCAGCATGTCTCTTGAATACGGTTTTGAGGCTTGTCTAAATTTTCAAAAATGACCAGGTGTTTTTAAGGAGTATTAAATTGGACACTCATTCATTTGTAACTCTTGAAAATGTAGGCCTCTGTATATATCTGTTAACAAATTCCTACATATACAGAATCCCGCCTCTCAGGAGGTGACAGTACCCTTCAAAGGCATCTTCTAAATCTATCGGTATAAATTTTAAGTCATGAGGGGAAAAAACACACTATCATTTTTAATACCCACTTTTAACATTTAAGAATAAAAAATGAGTTCTTGTAGCTATGTTTACAGAGACACTGTCAACTTGAAATCTAGTCCACTTTTAAAAAACGAGATACTGTATGTTTGCCCTGCAGTCCCCCGTCACCTTGTATGACTTTACAGTCTTGTCTGTTTTTAACTGGCTTTTCCCTTCATTGCTGCTGTCCAAAAGACCCATACAAACAGGAATCTGTGCATTCGATACTTTGTGTATAGTCAAAAAGAAAAGGAGTACTTGTGGCACCTTAGCGACTAATCAATTTATTAGAACATAAGCTTTAAATTTGTTAGTCTCTAGGGTGCCACAAGTACTCCTTTTCTTTTTGTGGATACAGACTAACGCAGCTGTTACTCTGAAATCTGTGTATAGTCAGTTTCACAAAGTAAACTTTTTTGTGGGGTGGGAATGATACTTTACTTCAACAGAAAGGGAAATCTTGCTTGTTGCAAATAACAATAGTATATCACAATCTTTCTGAAGATTGGTTTGTGGGTTTCACTTTTTTAATTAAAGGTACATTTCAGAGCATTCTAACAACCTTGAAATACTGTGCTGACATGCCACAATATCAGGCATTTAATACATTATCTTATCCTTTTCTCCTGAACCCTTGGCTTGTATGACTCCAAACTAGCCATAGATCACTAACTCTGCTTTGAGTTATGCCTCAACATTCAGTATTCGTACTGTCTCATCAATCCTGGGGGCTCAGGAGAGGTAATGATTTATTTGCCATGTTGGCAAAGTTCTATGTCAGCTGGGATATTTAAAAGTAAAGGAAACAGAACTTTGCTAAATCAAGCAATATATAGCAAAGAGCTATCCAACTCTATGTGGGCCAACACCAGTGGGGTTCTGTCTGATGCAACATTACCACAGTAGCATGTGCTGGGGCATCTCCTATTCCTGCCCCAAGCAATCTGAGTTGGGGATAGAGAGGGAGGTGAGTTGAGTTTCAAGCTCCTAATGTTAAACGTGTGCCCCTCTTATTCAACTGGGGGGGGGGGGGTGTTCAGCAAATAAAATAAAAAAAAAAGTTTGCAGCTCATTCACTCTTGAAAGAACTCTTACGAGCTAGGATTAGGAAACTAATCACCCTTAACAGCAGTTATGTCCAAAGTCGTTGGTATGCCCAGGTGGCACTTTTGAAAATGCAGTACGTGATACCACTTTGACTAAAGAGTGACCGTTGGCTGTTTCGACCTCAGCAGAGGTGGTGTGAATACTCAAGTTCTCCACTATAGACTAAATCTGTGTTATGGAAAGATAAAGAATAAACCTTTCTTCTGCTAAAAGTCTTGGAACTGCAATATCTCTTACAGGTTTACAACTTGTCCCAGAACATTCAAGAAGATGATCTCCAACATTTGCAGGTACATATAAACTGAGTTTACTTAATATGGCTTTTATTGAAGTGCTGTCCTCTTAGAATTTTTTCAGTTCCCTATTTTGCTTGATTTGGCAATCTGAAACTCTTGGAACCCTGTTTAAGGGATTGTAAACAACTTTTGGATCAGGTTAAATGTATTTTTTTTCAACTGGTTGTAAGCACGATCTTTTAAAAAGCAATTAAGGTATTGGTAAAGCAAAGGCAGTTAGTGTGATGGGGTGTGAAAGTCTTTTTGTCTCCCTTGGAGGGGGCTCCCTGGCTAAGAGGCACATCTACCCAGCGATGCTGCTAAGCAGAGGGTCTGCCAAATCAGACCGAGGGGACTGATGGATTTATTTTAGATAAATTCCAGCAGGAGTCACAGTTGGCTCAGGGAGGCACTGCCAGTTTGGGATACTATTAGGCACAGCTGTGTCTGATTAAGGTTCGGAACTTTCGGGCTAGCCTGCACTTGAAATTTGCACCAGTGTAATTGTGTTTAGATAGTGTGATTGCTTTGTTTTACTGAAATAGTTCTATCAGTGCAAGCCCTAGTGTGGATGCATTTTCACCGATAAGTGTATTCACATTGTGGGGGCTGTATTGCTTTAACTACCCCTATTTAGTTAAAGTGGCACACCTTTTTAGTGTGGGCAAGACTGTAGACCGACAAGAAGCTGTCCAAGTGATGGAAGAATTGTCTTGTTTGTAACCTGCATTTTCTTCTTTCTAAGTCACGTGAGGAGAGAGTGGCCAGAGGTTGCTGGGTTTTGGTTTTGTGCATGGAACACGAGCCTGGTCTCTTTCAAATAAATATGAAGTCCCGAAGAGACTGGCTTTTGTGTTAGCCAAACCTCTGTCTCCCATCTCCAGCTGCTCAGACCATGGCCCCTGCCACAGCTTGAAACTGGTTAACACGTCACCTGATACCAGGCTCCCCGGCACATTCAGCTTCGCAAAAGGTGACAGCTGCCAACAGTAGGAGCCAACTTATAATTAGACATTTTTGAAATGCATTTCACAACTAATACATAAGTGCTTCTTACTGTTTGACCTTTCAGAGTACAAGCTGAGCAAAAGAACTGAGCAGTTTCTTAGAGGTTAAAGGGAAACTGATTTCCCAGGTGGCTTTGGTACTTTGATTGGATTCCAGTTGTCAACCTTGAGGGTGAGATTCATGATTGGGGAGGGGAAACTGCCTGGTGGATGAAGTTGGGAAAGGGGGATAGGAGACCAATGCAATCACTGTGTCAGCTCTTCTCTCCAGTGGCCTTGAGGTGGGGGCAGGAAGATACTTGTATTAGGGAAATGGAATCTGTGGCTTGTCCTTGAAGGTCCTTGTTTGCGTACTTGGCAGCACCAGCTGTGTCCCTCTAGTGTCCACTTTATGGGCCCTGTCCCCTTCCAGAGTGACATGGTGGCTGGAATAGGCCCCAGGTATCCATGTTTATATTAGATACTGCTAGAGTTTACAGCCAAATCAATGCCACCTTATGATCAATGGAAGTAGGCTGGGGGCCTCCCAAATGTGGTTTCATTCCTGTCTTTGAGGGGCTCCAGAGGCTAGTTTTGTATAACTGCTCTTCTCTGTCAAAGGTGCTCTTGAATTGGGTTTCACAGGGTTCCATCTCTTTTTCCCTAGTCGTCCCACATGGACATGGGTCCACTAGAAGGGCTAGTAAGGAGATGTAAGGCTACTGTGTATCTTCACTATGTTGATGACATCCAGCTGTCTTACTTGCATTGAACCAACAAGCTGGCTGAAAGCTCAAGCTATACAAGATGAGTGATGTTGGTAAGATGGTGGAAGCAGCTAGAAGAGAAGATGAAATTAAGGGTGTGTGCTACTATTTGTTACTAGAGTTTGCAGTCTAATACCTTGTTGCTCCTGGTAGATCACATACAAGCAGTGAGTAGGATGGTTCTCTTCCATCTGCACCTGGCCAAGAGACTGCAATCATTTTCTTGAATGCACACTTCGCAACCACAATCTAAGCCTTTGTAGTCTCATGTAGACTACTGCACTGCCTGGGGCTACGCCTTTAATCAGTTCTGTTGCTGAAGCTTGCGCAAAAGGCAGTGGCTTGTTTGCGTTTCTTGCTGTGATATAATACGTGTTCAAGGATCGGCTTTAGTTGCCTGTATGTTGACTCTGGAGGTTGAGGTCTCTGTCATTGGAGATTTTTAAGAGCAGGTTAGACAAACACCTGTCAGGGATGGTCTAGATAATACTTAGTTCTGCCTTGAGTGCAGAGGACTGGACTAGAAGACCTCTCGAGGTCCCTTCCAGTCCTATGATTCTAAGTGACCATATCTCTGTCCAACTGTATGGTGCAGAGTGCAAACTGGATCCCCTTCTTTTCCCCTTTCCCCAGGCTAAAATAGAAATGTGCTGATCTCCAGAGCTTGCTGTGTCTGTTTCCTATGCTCTTGAAAAGGGAGGGAGGAGTTGCAGGCTGGGAAGGGTATCTGGTGGGTAGGAATCATTGGCTGGCGTGAGGGTTGGTCTGTCCTTTCTGATTTGGTGAAGCTGCTGCAATTCTAAATTGGCTTTTATTTGTAAGAGGTGTCAGGCATCTAGAGCCTCTGATGAGGAATGTTTTGTAGAAACCCAAATCAACATGCAGCACTTTGGAGGGGCACTCCTTGGGGGAGTTGGGAGCGTGCTATGTCAGATGGTGGCTGCCCAGGGAGGCCTGGATGGAGAGGTTGGGCAGGGGTACTCCTTTAGCTTAAGAAACCACAGGGTGGGAAGGTAACAGCTATGTGAGAGCAGATGATCTGGATAATGAAGCTGGAAGCCTATTGGGGTTGGGGGCTTTTCAGAGACCATTGTGGGGTCTAGGAGAGCCATTGGAAGGTGGAGGGGAGATCTTCATGAAGAGGAGTGTATTTTGCTGGAATGACATGCAGACTTCCTTGAGAGACCAGGGAAAGGATAGTCCTCCCTCAGTGCAATTTCTTGAACATTGGTATTCCCATCCTCCAGGTGCCGAGGGTTAACTTCAGGGCTATTCTTGATAATTCAATTAAAAATTGGAAGCCACTAATTTTGCCATTGATAAAAGATGGTATTCTTAATGGCAACACAAATTCTTTTTGTAATCTGTGTATGGCATTATTCTTAACAGTTTCATTTAATAGTTGTTTACAGAGTATGGAAGACTTGCTATGGAAGAAATTTACCAAAAGCCATTTCAGGTAATATATACTCTAAACTCTAACCTTTTTACATAATTACCTAGTTCAGGGCTTCTCAAACTTCATTGCACTGCAACCCCCTTCTGACGACGACAAATTACTACACGACCCCAGGAGAGGAGACTGAATCCGGAGCCCGCTTGAGCCCTGCTGCCCAGGGTGTGGAGGCCAAAGTCCGAACCCCACCGTCCAAGGGCATCAGCCCCAGGCAAGGGGCCTGTAACCCGAGTCCTGTGCCCAGGGCTTCAGCCCCAGGCAGTGGAACTCAGGCTTCACTTTTGGCCCCAGGTCCCAGCAAGTCTAAGCCAGCCCTGGCGACCCCATCAGAACAGGGTTGCAACCCACTTTGGGGTCTTGACCCACAGTTTGAGAACCGCTGACCTAGTTTTTCAACACCTGTTCATAAGGGTAGGAAATTAGTTAATTTACATTATGGAGAGAAATTAGCTGGGCTGAAGCTCATCGTCTTTTTTTTATAGGTCTGGGTGAGATGTGTGTGAAAAATCAAACCATGGTAACTGCTTGATGGAATTTCATGTAGGTGAACTTAGGCTAGCATAGAATCTTTCTGAAACGGCTGAAGGAAATCTGACAAGGAGTTTAAGATACAAAGTGTTTTTAATTTTTTTTCCACTTTTTAGCCCTCCTAAGGTAGTGATGGGTTTTTATGTTTAACTCTATTTCCAAAACAGCTTGCACTGAATCCTTCAAATTGTCTTACTCTCCTTGGAGTTATGGCAGTATAGATCCCCACTCTTGAGGGAGTGTGCACTAGTTACCAATGTTGAAGTCCTCTGGAAAGCAGTTTAGGACTCTCACGTGTTCATGTACAGACCCAAATGTTCAATGTGGGACTATGTAGGGAGCAGTAGCCCCAGCTTCACCCCATTCCATTTGGCTGTGGAGGTGAGCGGACTTGGAACCTCTCAAGTTCCTTCTTCTTTTGTAGGTGCCCTTACATAGTTCATGCTAGATTTTAAAAGTCTAAACAGACTGTGTTGTCAACAATATTACACTGTCTGGCAATCCTGTTTTGTGCCTTATGCTGAAGCAGTGATCTTTGAGGAGAGACAAAGCCAGGGGTTTCAGCACAGTGGATCTTTTAATAGCAAATTGTAGGGTGAATGGGTGTTCTGGCTCTGGTGCTCATATCTGCTTGCTCCAGGCAGGCTTACACCAAGGGACTGTGAACATCCTGATCTTAGGGTTCCCTTGCAGTTTCTCTCTGTTAATTTGGTGTCTCCCAAATCCTTCTTTTTGTTCCATGTGTGGTGGTTCTGCTAGGTCCTAGCTTTTACTTAGGAACTAAATATGCAAAATACTGTAAGTGTACATAGCTAGTGCCATCCAGCTAGCTCCCCTCTTGGTAGGGGAGTGATGTCATAAGATCTGTTTCATGTCTCCAGTTGATGGAAGGGAGGATCACACTCCTATATCTGGGCTGGCAAGAGACAGAAAAACTAGAGTAACAGGTGAGAGTGTCCTTTTCGCTATCAAAGGTCACAAGTACATGCTAGCTTGAAGGTGCTCCTTCAGCTGTTCTTACTCACAACAGAGAGGAATAACAAGTGTCTTGTATTCAGCTTAATCAGGTTTGGGGTTATAGTTTGTTGAATTACCAGCCGCAGATGTAGAATTCTTGATTCTCTGTCATTTTCTGCAGCTATAAGGAATATTAAATTAACCATTCATTATTATTGTACTCTTCTGTGTAGACACTAATGTTCTTAATTAGAGATTGGAGCTATCCTTATGAACACTCGTATGGCTTGGAAGGAGGAAAAAAATTTCTAGAAAAGCGATTGCAGGTAAGTTACAACTTACAAAACCCACACTGGTTCCTTAGTTCAGGTGCTGTTCTGTGTTTGAGATAGCTACACACGATTGGCTAAATATTTTCTGCTTGCTATTTTCTCAATACAAATGATATTTAAATATGTGACATCAAGTGATTGCCTTTGTACGATCTACATTTTTATAGAAGTTCAGAAAAAGGCTAGACTATGTTAAATCTATTCATAAACTTTCCGCCATTAAATTCAATTATAAATCTTGCAGTCAGCTCCACAGAGCCATTTAGAATTCTTACTTTGCTTTTTTCAGGTAAAGCAAAACCAGCACGAAGAGCTACAGAACGTAAGGAAGCATATTCGCTCATGTTTCAGCAACCTTGGCTGTTTCCTGTTGCCCCACCCTGGTCTTAAAGTTGCGACTAATCCAAATTTTGATGGGAGGTTGAATGGTAGGAAGCATTCCATTGTGTTAATTTGCTTTGGATATATATCACTGGAATTGTTTTGCTGTAGCATAGAACTTGCTTAAATCTTGCCTTAAATTTATTGAAGAGTTTGGGGTTGAAAGGTAAAACTTAGAAGTGTGCATTGGCATATTCTCTTTTTGGGTTGTTAAACATATGGAGGAATTAAGTGATTATTTTTTTCCTGGTTCTGTGTTGCTTTTTAAGTTCTCAGGTAGCTGTTGGCTGTAACCTTGCAGATTTAACACTATCCAAGATGGCCAGCTGTGGGATTATGCGGTGCCTAAAATCAGAGGATTTACAAGCAGAATCCTAGGAATTCCACTCACATTTTGGTGGGTGAGAAGTTGCTAATGTGCCAAAGGGTGGTGTAGAAAAAAAAATTCTTGCATCTTGTGGAGTTCCCACCAATTATGTGCAGGGAGCAGAGACCTGAGCGGTTATACTGTGAGCGGTCTTCAAAGAATTTATTCTAGTTACTCCAGTACTATATAGATGAAGGGAAAAAACCCTACTCTAATTTTACAATAGTTTCCAATTGTCAAAGTGTTTCTTTAAGCCCTAAAAATTTCTTCAGGATAAGCAAATTATTCTGAGTCAGGAAGCATTGTTTTTTTAAAGGGATTTGTTGTCAGTGTGTTTTTCTAGAGGAGAAACTCATTATTGCTTGAAATTGAGACGTACCACCTTTTTCTCCGGCTGATTCAATTTCCACCAGACATTGATGATGATTTCAAGAGAGAGCTGCGGAATCTGGTTCCATTACTACTTGCTCCTGAAAACTTGGTAGAGAAAGAGATCAGTGGATCCAAGGTGACTTGTAGAGATCTTGTAGAATATTTTAAGGTAGGCAAACTCTTGTACTAATTATTTTTTCACGCCTTACCAAATTTATCCTAATTTTAGAATACGTTCCCAAAGAAGAGATGATAGTATCTAGGTTGCCACTCACTGATGAGCTTTAGGTAGTTTTGACTTTAACTTCAGCACGTCTGCTGAAACTGGTATGCATGGTTTTCCACCAGTACAGCTCTAAGGGCTTGTCTCCACTTACTTGAGGGCATGCGGTGATCAATCCACTGGGGGTCGATTTAGTTAGTCTCGTGAAGACCTGCTAAATCGACCACTGATTGCTTTCTGATAGACTCCGGTATTCCACCAGAACAAGAAGCATAAGGTAAGTCAATGGGAGAGTTTCTCCTGTCGACAGAGCGCGGTATAGACACCGCAAAAGTTTGACCTAAGCTATGTCGACTCCACCTACGTTATTTACGTAGCTGGAGTTGCATAACTTAGTTCGACTGAGCCCCGTAGTATAGACCTGCCCTAAGTGAGCTGCTGTTTTGGCTGTGCCTTTAGATAGGTGTAGGACCAAAAGGCAAATCTGACATATTTTTCTTGAATAGAGATTATTACTTCGTGTCCTTAAACTGAGTTTGAGACAAATTAGAGCAAAGTGCCAATCTTGGTCCTGATATAACTTTAAATATAGGTATTGTGTGTAGTTACACTTGTAATTAAAGTTGTCTAAGCACTTCCATTTGAAGGCCTGTTTTCCAAGCTCATAACTTAATCAAATTTTTGGGCTGAAATTGTCCATGTTCTCTCTCAACCTGAGAACTCTTCTTCTTTGAAACATTAGAATAAAGATGGCAAAGCTGTTTTTAATGGTATGTGTAGGGAGCACATGCTGCTGCTGTTTAACCAAAGCAAAACACTTCTGCCACCTTTGAAGGCTTGTGGTGTCTCAGGGGTTACAGCAGGAACTTGCAAGTAAGCCGTGTGTAGTTCCTAAGTTTCCAGTGTGCCTTTTGGTGGTCTGGTGAAAAATCTGTTGTGACCTGGGGAGAATTGCAAGGGTTTAAACACGTCTATATCATGCAGGCGCGCTGCTGTTGTCAGAGAAGAAAAGGGTTGTTTTTCCTAACCTCACATGTTGTGTTGGCTCCACTTGTGCATGTGTGGGTAAATTCTGAAGAACTTAATTTGTAATATGAGGGGGTGTGCGAAGTAGGATCTGTGAGGGCATGTAGGGCATGAGGCAGGGGCCCTGCAGCAACCCTTCCTTTGTGTTCTGCACACTATACACACCCAGCAATGTTTGATTGCTACCTAGCAAATAGTTCTTCATGATCAAACTTCTCTTTAAAACAAAATCCCCTTGGAAATTCCAGATCAAAATCTACATTAAAAGAATGTGATGGTTTCAAAGTGAAGCACTTGAGTCAGGAAATACCAAAGTTAAGGCAGCACTGACAACCAAAACCCTGGCCCTGGTGAGCCAATGTAGTAGGACAGTCTTTAATTACATGATTGCATGCAGATTTTTTTCTCCATAGGACCTCTACCGCACTTAGTTCAGGGACTGAATGTTTAGTGAATGTGGAAGAGACCACACCCTGAAAAGTGAGGATAAAATATATAAATATTTAAGAACAGCTGCCTGATTCACATTGCACTGTCCAACCTATGCAATGAATGACATGGGGTGCTGTGAAAAGACTAATATGTGATCATGCAAATAAAGATTCCCAACATATAGGCACAAGGGAGTAGAACTAAGATTAGGAGGGCAGCCTTAAGTCAGAAAATAGTGAAGTTGAGAGCTTTACTTTGCTGTTCTTCTGATTTAGTTCATGTTGTACATTATTCAGAAGAATTCCGTGCAGATTGGCCACTTGTCTCATAACATAAAACTCTGGGTGCTCAGGTGCCCTGTTCTTTGACTTCCTTTCTGAAAGTGGAAGTCTCACTCCAAGCATAGAGGTCTGTACATCAGCATCAGGGACCAGGACTAATGGCAGAGGAAGGAGAAATCCCATCTTTCTCTCCCTCCCCCACTCCTAGAGATGAATAACTATGAAGGAGAGGGATACAGGAGGAACAACAAAAGAGTTCAGTGTGCTAGCTAGTGCAACTGGCCCAAAGCAGTGAACTCCATGTTGCTGACCAGAGCCCCAGTTTCCCATTAATCTGACCCAGAAGGCCTAAGTTCCTTCCCCAGCTCACTGCATACAGGGCGTTGCTCCTCACCAACCTCTGAGGAGTGTGCAGACTGGACACACTGCGTTGTCCTCTTCCTTTCCTCCTAGGCACGGACAAAGGACAACTGAAGCTCTTAGGGGTGGGGAGCTGAGGACCAGCTCAATTGTAATCAGCCCACTTAGCTTCCCCAGCACACCCTGCCACCCTAACAGTTGTCTCCCATGTCCCAAAGTTGGTAGTTTCTTCACCTTCCCTCAGATTATCCCTTATTCCTACAGGGGTGGGGACATAAGTGTTCCTCCACCCCAAACTTGTTCACCTCCTGGAGATGGGATGTAACTCTCTGCTGCTCCAGATTCTGGGGAGGGCACGGGGGGGGGAGGAGGGTTGTCTTCCCCCCATCTTTCAGAAGAGGGGTTCTTCCCAGCCCCCCAAAGACTCCCCCCAACATACATTTGGGTGTGTGTGGGGGGGCATAAGTGCTCACTCTTCCCTGATGAGCTCCAGGCTGCCACTCCTTGAAACAGTAGTAGCCTCTTTTCTCTTCAAAACCCTCTTCTGTACGGCAGGCCTCAGCCCTGGTGATGCAGACACACCTGAACGGGGGGGGGTGCGGTGTCTCTGAACAGAGATGTATTTTTAATAAAATAAAACTCCAAGATTCATCCCTAACTCACTTTTTGTGTGTGTGTGTAAATTGTAAACGTGTCAGTGAGAAGAACCTTCAAATGAAGCAAGTAGAACAGGGGTTCTCAAACTGGGGGTTGGGACCCCTTAGGGGGTCACAAGGTTATTACATGGGGGGGCTCGCGAGCTGTCAGCCTCCACCCCAAACCCCACTTTGCCTCCAGCATTTATAATGGTGTTAAATATGTTAAAAAGTGTTTTAAATTTATAAGGGGGGGTCGCGCACAGAGGCTTGCTATGTGAAAGGGGTCACCAGTACAAAAGTTTGAGAACCACTGAAGTAGAAAGTGGTTTTAATACCATGATAGACATATAGCTCTAATCTTGGTAAAAGCACATATTAATTGCCATGTGTCACTACAGTATTGCTTTGATTCACTCAATATGGAGATTAGTAGGGACAGCATTTATTATAAGGGGTTTGGAATGTAAAGGGATTAAAGTGTTGGGAAACGTGTAAATGTCAGTTATAGATTATTTTACTCTTACATGTAGAGATTTGCTTAATTGAATATTTAGGATTAACATGCAGGACTGATTTGGACCCTGGCTTTCTTCCCATCATAAATGCTCAAGTCAAAAAAAATCAATAAAACAAAATGTAATTGTTTTGTTTTTCAGGCTTACATTAAAATCTATCAGGGAGAGGCGCTACCTCATCCTAAATCAATGCTCCAGGTATTTCCTTATCCTTTGAACATAAGCGAAGTGAAGAAATAAAAATTAAATTCTGTGCTATCATTAAGGATTGTATTTCTTCAAGAGACTGAAGGTTGTGAATGAAGTGTTAGCACCCAGGGAGCTGTGTTTCTTCAAGAAGGGCCGAGGCAGTTACCCACTTCAGGTGGTTCTGAGCCCACACAAGTCCCCGAAGTGGTAGCCACTGGGGTTCTGCTGTACATTAGCGTATACACTCCTTCGAAACCTTGCCATGTTGTCTACATTTTGACTCAGTTTCCGGTATTATTTTTATTAGCTTAGTATCTAGTGCTAATAGATTGGTGCAGACATGTAACTAACTAAGTGCACCTTTACATGGTGTCAGGCCACTTTTCACTCTGTGGGTCTGTGTCAGATAAGGTAACTGTACCAATATTCTTTTCTATGGCTGATCCAGAGAGGAAAATCAGATTTAGATTGAGCTTTGTGCATCCAGTCATGCCTTGCTCAAGTGTGCAATGCTTACGTTGTTTGGGGTTTAGGACTTGCAACAAGGGAGGTGCTCACTTTATGCTGGCTTTACCTCTTGGGTCTTGAGGGCTGAAAGCCCCTCTAGTGAAAGAAGCCAGAGGAGTTATTTGGTTTAGAATCTGAAATTGTTCTGGGTACCTCCCCTTCAAGGAACCATCTCCTCCTTGGACTTGTGTAAGGGTTCAGAAAGCCACTTCCAGTGCTCCCTCAGATCCAAAGACAAGGGATAGACTCCAGTGGATCACCACTTCCCTTCCTCCTGTGACTTTCAGAGGGAGGATGGGACCACATTCTCTCCTCTAACATTATTTAGACTGGTTGGCTCTGACATGGACACATGCATGACCCCAAAAGACGCTGCTTACTATAAATTCTGAGCCCACAACTGCAGGCCTGTGACCTGACCAGAGGTAATACACTCAGGGGAGGGGGGAAACTGCCTTTTATATAGCGATGGAATTTTTTCCTGACCGCTTTCTAACATTAATTTGGATATCCTTTTCCATTTGGTAACCATCAAAATAGTCTCTTCCATACCTATCTCATGATGGAAAGATCATGTACAGGTATATGGATGTATAATACGTAGCTTTTCTAGAGTGCCAGGGCTGAAATCTTTGCTTCTAGTGAGCTATTTTAATCTATTTTACAGCAGATCCTTTATCTGTTCACATGGAAGGTTTTCTTCAGGTCTGAAGTTAATGGGTAAACATTCAAAATTAAATGGTACAAAACTGGTTAAAGGTGTTGGTGCTTCATAATGTATAACTAATGTTACTGGCAAGTCGGATACAACCATGTGCAGTGCTTGATCAATATCTGTATGCTTTCATTTTCTGAAGGCAACAGCTGAAGCCAACAATCTTGCTGCAGTAGCAGGAGCAAAAGACACCTACAACAAAGGCATGGAGCAGGTATGTTGATTACGAAATTAAGGCAGTGGTATGTGTAGTAAGGCCTCTGTTGTAGAGTTATGCGTAATGTGGTGTTAAACTGTTACACGGTTAACATACTAATGGACAAATTGGCTGAGCATCAGGACTCCCATGTGTGAAGATCACACATGCTGCAAAAGTCACAAGATCTCTCGTGAAGGAGGGAGAAGGAAATTGATGGTGAGGTAGGGGGGTGGGATTGAGATGTATTCTCTACATGCTAAATGACTTGAGAATTCTGTTAACAGCCGCTGATTAAAAAGATACGAAGCAGCTAGTAGAATGAACAGATACATCTGGTAGTAGTATCACCGTACAGTGTTCATACTAAAAAATATAAAAAAAATTGTTTGGGTTTTGGAGATATTACACTACTGATTTCTGATGATTTTCTGTAAGGCTATAGAGCAATATAAATGTGCCGTAAAATGTGAAGATTAAAAGGTACTTAAATATTCAGTATTTGCAAAATCCAAAACATTTCTTCCAAATAGCTACATGTAGCTAACAATTTCATTCACCATATGCTACTTCAAACTCCATTGTGAAGGTACTCTTTTATAGTGAACACACTACCAAGGCCCACTGCAATCTCAGACCACAAAGTTGGGCAACAGTTTAAAGCCACTTATCACAGAACCATTGACACCATGTGGGAAATTCTGAAATACAATTGTACATCTATGTTATAGATATCAGAAGGTCTTTCACTTACTGTGAAGCATGTGCCCATGAAAACAGCATCAACTTAAGAGTTCATCTGCTCCTGTAGCTACTGTAAATTAGTGCCATGGCCACCTCTGGATTACTGTGTGCAGTACTGGCCACTACACCACAAAAAGGATATTGCATAAGGACATAAGAACGGCCATACTGGGTCAGACCAGTGGTCCATCTAGCCCAGTATCCTGTCTTCTGAGAGTGGCCAATACCAGGTGTGCCAGAGGGAATGATCCATCCCATTGCCCATTCCCAGCTTCTGGCAAACAGAGGCTAGGGACACCATCCCTGTTCACGTTGGCTAATAGCCATTGATGGACCTATCCTCCACGAATTTATCTAGTTCTTTTTTTAACCCTATTATAGTCTTGGCCTTCACAACATCCTCTGGCAAGGAGTTCCACAGGTTGACTGTGCGTTGTGTGAAGAAATACTTCCTTTTGTGTGCTTTAAATCTGCTGCCTATTAATTTCATTTGTTGACCCCTAGTTCTTGTGTTGTATGAGAGAGTAAATAACACGTCCTTATTTACTTCACATCAGTCATGATTTTATAGACCTCTATCATATCCCCCCCCTTAATCATCTCTTTTCCAAGATGAAATGCCCCATACTTAATCTCTCCTCATACGGAAGCTGTACCATACCCCTAATAGTTTTTGTTGCTCTTTTCTGAACCTTTTCCAATTCCAATATATCTTTTTTTGAGCTGCGGCGACCACATCTGCACACAGTATCCAAGGTATGGGCATACCATGGATTTATATAGAGGCAATATGATATTTTCTTTCTTATTATCTATCCCTTTCTTAATGATTCCCAACATTGCAGATGATGAGAGCTTGGAGATGGTTGACAAGAAGGGCATGGAAAAACGTCCTATGAGAGAAGAGATTGGAATTATTTGCCTTAGAAAGGAGACTAAAGGGGAATGAGTCTATTAAAATAATGAATGGTACCCAGAAGGTAGATCAGGAATTTTTGTTCTCCCTGACTCACGACCCCAGAACAAGGGGATGCCATCGAATCAAACTAAAAGGTGGTAAATACAAAACTGATGAAAGGAAATCCTTTTTCACACAATTTGTAAATGGACTGTAGAGCTCACAGCCACAGAAAGTCAGAGGCGAAGAACTTAACGTGATTCAAAAAGATTGGGTACGTGTGGTTATCAAGATTATCACTGATGATAATTCTAGATGATAAAATCTTTGGAAGGGATACTAAACCTCATGCTTCAGGGATTAAGCCTGTCTTTTCTGTATTAGAGATCAGGATGATGCCTAATGTGGGCAGATTACCCCACATCTACCCATTGCAGGGTTCTTATACCTTCCTCTGAAGTATCTCGTGCTGGAGCCTGTCAGAGACAGGATACTGGACTAGGCAGACTCCAGGTCTGATCCAGTCAGGCAATACCTATGTAATAAAATGGAGTAGGAGTATTCCCATTTTGTGAAGACCTTTGAGGTTTTCAGATGAATTGTTATAAAAGAGCTGAATTATTTCTCACCTGAAGTCATGACTGGCCATGGAGATGATTGAAATATTGGAGAATTTAGACTTCAGGTAAGGAATAAACAGGAACAGATGTTTTCTTACAGATCCTGTTTCTATAGGAACTTCCCAAGTGTTATATTTTATGTACAAAATAAGTGTGGCTAAACAAAACAAGTCTTTATAAACATCTTCTGGATAACTTTGAACATTTTTTATACCAAGTCTTGGTGTGACAGATGGGTCTGAAACTTTTGACACTAAGAACAGAGTAGAAATAATTGTTTTGGTCTTTATCTTAATTAACACTAGTTTTAATCAAGTCTTTATTATCAGTGCTACCATAGTGCCTAGGAGCCCAAGTCATGGACCAGAACCCCACTGTGCTGGGTGCTGTATAAATACTGAAGACGGTCCCTGTCCCAAAGAGTTTATAATCTAAGTATGACAAGGAAGAACAGGTGGATACAGACAAGGAAGCACAAGGAAACAGTGAGGCCATATTGGTCATCTTGATGAGCAATGGTCTCACTACAGTTAGGCTGCTGGCAAGCGCATGAGAGGCAGCATGGGAAGAAGCATGAAGGGACTTGTTTGAGAATGTAACTTGTGGTTGATGGATGCTAACATCACAGGCCAATCAAAGGTGGGAGTCAGTAAGTTGATAATGAATGAGAGAGCTCATTAACGGCCTTGACAGTAAACACAAGCGACTTTTATGTTTGAGGTGATAGAGAAGGGTGAGTCAGTGAAGGATGCAAAGAGAGGAGAGATGGTCAAAACAACGGGCTAGAAAACTATCTTTGCAGCAGCATTTTGACTGGAGGTAAATGGAGCTAGGTTACATTTGTCAAGCCAGAAAGAAGGATGTTGTAGTAATTGAGATGATTTGAGACTGGACAAGAGTTCTAGCTCTGTGGATGGATAAGAAAGGCCCTAGCTTAGAAATGTTATGCAGAAAGAACCTTCATGACTTAACCATAGCCTGGATGTGAGGACCTAGAGTGGTCTGGTGATGCCCAGGTTATGGGCCTGAGTGACTGAAAGGATGATGGTGCTGTCCACAGTGTTTGAGAAGGTGAGGGAGGAGACAAGGAGTTCTGTTTTAGCTGTGACTAGCTTGTGCTGACAGCTAGACAGCCACAAGATATTAGAAATAGACCAAAATTTTAGTATGGACAGAAGACGACTGTTCTGGAGTAGAGAGAGAGAGATCTGAGAGTCAACAGCAGACTTGAATTTGTATTTGTGGATGAGATTACCCAGAGAGAAGGTGCAGAGGGAGAAGAGAAGGGGGACCAAGGCCGGAGCCCTCTGGAATCACCCCAGAGAGCCAGATGGGGGGATGAGGAGGATCCTCTGAAGGTCACACTGAAGGAGCAATTAAAGAGGTAGGAGAAGAACCAGGAGAGGATAGTTACAGAAGCCAAAGGAGGACAAGACTTCAAGAAGAGAGTGGTCGGTGGTGTTGAAGGCAGCTGATGGGTCAAGGAGGATGAGGATAGAGTACTGGTTCTGAGCTTTGGTGTGGAAAAGTTCATCTTGCTCTTTGGCAAGAGCAGTTTCGGTGGAGTGTAAGGGGCAGATGCCAGATTGGAGAGGGTCGGGATGAGATTAGAGGAGTTCTTCTACAGACCGATCTTTAGCAGGAGCCATGTAAAGAAAGAAGACTAGGATAAACCATCCAGAATGATAGTTTGATTTATGCCTCCCTTGAAGGGGGCAGAATGGATGGGCAGGTGCATGTTGCTGGTATAAACTCTTGTCCTTAATCTCCCCTTGAGAGCATTAAGTCTCTCCCAGATCACCTTTTTACCTCAAGAGGACTGGATGGGACTCCTTAGAGCAGCATTGACTAGCTCCATCATCTGCCAGAAAGGGTCCCTGGGGCACAAGGTACTTGTCCTCTCTCCTGTATCCCTGGTTCCCATTACCCAGGTGCAAGAGAGCAGGAGTGAAACCCATCTTTCCTGCATGGCCCTTCAGAATATGGCACCAGACATGTCGACTTGCTGAAGACCATGGCTTCAAATTCAGAATTGTAAAGGCAGGGTGCTGTGATTAGCAGCCCAGCTGTTCAGTAAAGCTGCTCATAGCAAACCCACTGAATAGGAAACTGAGCATGCCCAAGTACCTCCTCGGGCAGAGGGAGGCCTTTATCATTCAAATCACCTGCTTGCCCTTAGTGAGTCTCTGATGCACTCATGAAAAGGTAATGTGATGGGATGGGCAGCTGGGGTATTCCTTGGGGTCTGTCTTCACACACTGCTGAATTTACCAAGAGCCAAGGAATTATGACAGCATTTGTTTTTGTGAACTCAGAATATGGCCCAGTGTGTTTGATTCTGGGTAGACCTGTTAAATCTGCTGTGTTTGAAATCATCCCAACTTTGAAAGAGCTGTGCTTATGGATGTGTGTTTCTGGGCTGGACACTTTTCAGAATACTGCAAAGTTGAAGTTCTGAGCAGATTAAGAACGCTTCCCCAGCCTCTGGTTCTTGTTTGTTGCATCATAACTGGTTCGGTCATCTTTTGCTCAACTGACTGGTGAGAGGCACTCCATGCTGTGGGTCCCATTTTCTAGTTTCACTTAAATGATTTTATAGCATTTCCTCTGTTCCTTTAAAAGCTCTTTTGGAAAGGACCCATGGCAGCAATGGACACTTGCCCCCTTCAAGAGGGGGCTGGGGCTGCAACACAAGCAGAGAGATGGACACAGCTAGGGCTTTGACCAAGCTCATGAGACACTGGTTGTACAGTCCTAGTGGCTTACATTAGCTAAACCCAGTAGCCTCCTAGTCTGGCTGGAGGTGGTACAGTGGCTGATCCATCAAGCTAGCTACCTTTCCACATCTGATCATTTAGAACCAGAGCATCTCTTTGCATCCTAGCTTAGGATTTGTTCTTGTTAACCAGGCTGCTGAGGGTGGAAATTGAGTAGTTTGAAGTCGTGCAAGCGGTGTCTTACGTGTCCTTTTAACAGACCAGAAAATCACATAACTTTAATTGGAGGTAGATTGGTGAATCCCTTTAAATTGCTCCCCCAAGCAACTTGATTACTTTCTGTAGTCCAGAAATGAAGAGATGGCACCTTCAGAGATCTGACTGATATTTCAGACTCTGTGAGCCATTAGAGTCCTGTGAAATCAAGTTTCTGATATGGAATATTTAAATCTACAGGATGCAGTCACAGCTGCCAGCAGGGTTTTAAAAAAATCCATTCTTCCGTAGGGAGAAAGGGAAGCTCTCCCAGGCTGGGGCCATCACGTTTTGCAGAATCTCTGGTTTTACTGGGGGAGGGAATGTTTCTAACCCTTCTGGGCCATTAGCTTTCCACCCCTAAGTGAACAGTGTCGCTTGATGCAATGCTGTCTTCCCAAGTCTGCAGGCACAGCTACAGCCTGTGCCACTATTGATAGCTTTGCCCAGCTGCAGCCCAGTGAAAACTGGGGATAGACGAGGCCTAGATGGCATCCGTGGGTAGGTTCACCCGGCTAGGTCCAAAACAGAGGCTGAGGCGAAGGCTAGAGTTCGTTACCCCTTTCCCACCTGTTTTAACAGCCAAGAGGTTCTGAGATTCTGTTTCACCTAAAAGGAGAGACTTGCTTCTGTGTACTTATTCTGTGAAGGTGAATGTTACAGCAGGTCCACAGTTTCCTTGCTGCCACTGAGCCCCCTGCCAAAAAACCCCCAACAAAAGATGCTGGAGAATATAAAGTCATGTTAGACTGAACATTACCAGATGGTCGAGGCCATTTCTGATTCTTAGGCTTCAGTCTGAAGCAGGAGTGTCTTAACTGCTTACCTTGAGCTTTGGAGTGTTCTGACCGTGGTCAGTTGCAGGCGAGTGTGGTGCTCGAGCTACTGCCCTCTAAGGATCGAACATCAAGCAGGTAATGGTTTGTTGTTTCGAATGCAATGTTGGACAGCACAAGCTCTTCCTGCTGTACCCTGACCCCTCACGTCTGGTTATTCTTCTCACAGGTTTGTGGAGGAGATAAGCCTTACATTGCTCCGTCAGACCTGGAGAGACAGCACCAGGATTTTAAGGAGTCAGCTGTCAGACAGTTCTGTTCTGTGAAAAAAATGGGAGGAGAGGAGTTCTGCCGTCGCTACCAGGACCAGCTTGAGGCGGAGCTGGATGAAATCTATGCAAACTTTGTGAAGCACAATGATGGCAAAAACATCTTTTATGCTGCTCGTACCCCTGCCACTCTGTTTGCTGTTATGTTTGCCATGTATATCATCTCAGGACTGACTGGCTTCCTTGGTATGAACTCCATCGCTAGCCTGTGCAATCTCGTCATGGGGCTAGCACTGATATCCCTTTGTACTTGGGCATATGTTAAGTACTCTGGGGAATTCAGAGAAGTTGGAACAGCCATTGATCAAATCGCTGAAGCACTATGGGAACAGGTTGGTATCTATTGAACTATGAAAGTGTCCTTTCTTGGATGAACTTGCCAATTACGATTTCTGTTTAATGCTGTTAATCAAAAATTGTTCTAGAGCAGACTAAAGAATTCAAGTTCTTCTGGAAGGTAAAATGAACTCAGAAGTATAGACATTGTGTAACTTTCAAGGAGGATACCTTGGAGAAATTAGACTATAAAACCAGCCCAGGATATCATCCAGTGTCTAATTACCTGAGGTCTTTGCTGACACTAAGTTCTGAGAGTAGCACAAAAGTGGAAGGATTTTTTAAAAAAATCCTTGTTGTTTACTTTTCTCTAAAAGGTAAGTTTGAAAACCCGGTGAAGAATTCTTAGAGAGGTAAGTTGAAGTTGTTGAACGTCTTCATTTCTGATATGGTGCATGCGAGACTCCATTGATCTACTGGAGCAAGAACTGTGACGCCACAACACTGCCCAGAATCATCTCTGTATCTGTCATCCCCTTGCTGTTGGACAGCATGCATGGCACTGAAGAGAAAGCTAATTAAAGGCTGCAGGGAAGAAAATTAGAGGTAATGAATACCTGCAAGGAGTCCAGCTTGCAGCAGCTTCCATAGGAGAGATGGCTGTGTTTTCTCATATTGGGAAGACAGACTGTTTTAAACGTTACTAATAATATTTTGAGTAGCATAGTGGCTAGTATAGTTGCCCACGTAAAAACGTTTGCCGGAACCAGTGGTTCTCAACCTGTGGCCTAATCAGTGCACAGCTGTGGCCCATGCGACATTCTCAGGGCCATACAAGTAATATATATTTTGCGTGGATGTGGTATATAACTCAGAAAGCTGCATATGTGGCCCACAATGGTAAATAGTTGGAGAACCACTGGCTGGAACAATTTGCCTTTCTTTTTAAAGCTAACATATGATATGACCTTACATTAAGGTAGCAAATGGTGGTAGATGAATTTTCATTCAACTCTTAATCTGGGAACATGTAATTCTGCCTTTATAGCCTCAAGCCAATCTTGTTACTACTTTATCTGATTGGCCAACTATATGGGTCCAACTTTGAGGTTAGAACATAGGATTTTTGACTGCTTTTCAGAGACTGAATAGGGAATGCCTTTAGGAAAGGTTACTGGAGATTCTATAGTTCTAGTACCTGTAGTGTAGTGGATGTGATGCTTTGAGTAAAAATAGGCAATGACTTGTGCTGAGATCTCAGATGAGAGATGTGATGCTAAAAAGTGACAAGCAAATAGTTGTGTGAGGTAGAAAATAAATACTTAAGGCCTCACAATGGAAACTGATTGTTTAATTACTGAATCTCAGTTCAGGATTACTGTATGTGAGATGGTACGGGGCAATGTGCAGGATGATCAATCTCTGTTCTCAGCTATGTAGGTTACCTTTGACAGATTTTTTTTCTCAAATTACAGGAAGCAAAACTAGACAATAGGTTTGTAATTTGAGGAAATCAGTTAAATTCTCGTAATTTACTTTCTGTGTCCTAATTCCTGAAGCTTTGAAAAAATCCATACCCTCCTGCAGTCTGATATAAATTCTGACTTCAGAATTGTTTTGTCCTAGCTTGAAGTGGCTTCCTCGAGTCTAGACTTCATCAGCTTCACATGTAAAACTAGGGTTTCTAAGCATGCGGTTGGGTCCTTACTCCAAGGAAGAGACCAGGTCATAGTAAATCAACACTTCAGTTTTGCTGGCAGAGCTATGTTGGTTCAGGGTGTGTGAAGGAAAATCACACCCTTAACTGACCTAGCTGTGCTGACGAAGACTCTGGTATAGATGCAGTTATACTAGCATAAAAGCCTTTTCCTGGTGTCACTTACTTTGCTTGGGAACTCTCTTGCTGGTGAAAGCTCCATTCCTACTACGAGGGTTTGCCAGTACAGCTGTACTGACTAACCCTTTCTAGTGTAGACTCTGTGACCGAACCCGTCACAGAGACCCCCTTGGGACTGTCACCTGATGGGCTGAAATTATCTCTGAGCCCGTTTTCCCTGCCAACTTGAGACTCCAGAACCCTGCCTTGTTGAGCCAGACATGCTAGCCTGCTGCAGTACAGACCCAGGTCTGGTCCATACCCCCAAAGCTGCAGACTTTAACCAAATACTGCTCAGCAGGTCACCTATCTCCAGCACCCAGAAACCCAGTTCCCAATGGGATCCAAACCCCAAATAAATCCATTTTACTCTGTATAAAGCTTACATAGGGTAAACTCATAAATTGTCCACCCTCTATAACACTGAACATAGAATCATAGAATATCAGGGTTGGAAGGGACCTCAGGAGGTCCTCTAGTCCAACCCCCTGCTCAAAGCAGGACCAATCCCCAACTAAATCAGAGAGATGCACAGCTGTTTGCTCCCTCAGGTATTAATCACTTACTCTGGTTCATTAATAAACAAAAGTGAGTTTATGAAGTATAAAAAGTAGGATTTAAGTGGTTTCAAGTAATAACACAGAGAACAAAGTAAGTCACCAAGCAAAATAAAGCAAAACACACAAGTCTAAGCCTAATACATTAAGAAACTCTTTACAGGTAAATCTCACCCTTAGAGATGTTCCCATAAGCTTCTTTCACAGACTAGACTCCTTCCTAGTCTGGGCCCAATCCTTTCCTCGGTACATTCCTTGTTAGTTCCAGCAGGCATCTTAAGTGAAAAGCAGTGGCTTTCTCATGATTGGGACCACCTGTTTGTTCTCTCCCACCCCCCTCTTATAGCTTTGCACAAAGCAGGAATCTCTTGTCTCTCTGGATCCCCACCCCTCCTTCTAAATGGAAAAGCACCAGGTTTAAGATGGATTCCATCATTCTCTCTGGGTTGGCTTACATGAACACAGGAGGGCTTGCAAGTAAACAGAGCCATTTACAACCAATTGTCCTAGTCAATGGGAGCCAGCAAGATTGTAAGCCATCATCAATGGCCCACACTTTGCATAATTACAATAGGACCTCAGAGTTGTATCTGAAGCTAGAAATATAAAGTATAAGACTGATACATGCATACAAATCAGATGAACACACTCAGTAGATTATAAGCTTTGTAATGATACTTTACAAGGGATCTTTTGCATGAAGCATATTCCAGTTACATCATATCCACACTCGTAAGCATATTTCCATAAACATATGGAGTGCAACGTCACGGACAACACCTGTCATTGCCATTGGACTATGCATTATACTGTGAGATAAGAACCAGTTCCTCTCCGATTGCTAGCCTAAGGCCTGGCTTACACTTAAAAATGAGATTGACCTATTTGTGTTGCTCAGAGCTGTAGTTAGTTCAACCTAGCCCTCAGTGTAGCCGCGGCTCCTCTGATGGAAGAATTCTTCTGTTGACCTAGCTCCCACCTCTGAGAGATGGATTAGCTACATCTGTGATGGATGGGTTCTTCCCAATGTAAGAAACGTCCACACTATAGCTCTCTAGGGGTACAGCTGCAGCAGCTGTAGTGTAGATGTGCCCATCATCATTCTGAAACTGAAGATGGATTCCTTTGTCCCATGTCTCATGCATGTTGTTGCTACTGACCACTTCTAAATCTCTCTGCTTTTCTTTTTTCTCTTTGCTTCAGAGGAATCCCAGGAAGGTGAGAAATTAGCAGCAATTAGTCTTATTAATTAGTTGCCTTTATTTTCCTGCTGCTTGCTGCGAGTCCTTTTCCTAACCACTGAATTCATATTTTAGGTGTGTTCCAAACTCTTTGAAGTTGTTAGACGTCGAATGATTCGCCGTGTTCTTACATCAGCGCAGCGACAGCGACTCTCGTCCAACAATAACAAGAAGAAAAATTAGACAGTATTTTTACATTTCTTTCTGTATCTGAAGTGTTCACACTTACACATATAGGACAATAAGCAGGACCGTCTGGGCCGGTCTGCATAAATGCTGTAAACATACCAGATTGATGCTGCATATAGGGTATGGAACTGCACAGCCATCTTCTAGGAACTGTAAAGTGGTTTGAATTCCGTGAAATGCTGCTGTGTAGGAGGAGATCGGTTTTGTTCATGATTCACCTCATTACTATAGCAGCACAGCTTTTCACCATTTCCTTTAGTGCATCATGTTCTTGTTTATTTTTCAGATTCCAAGATCTTAATTTTTTCATTACTTGAATTCTTGTATTTTATATTTTTAAAGGGTTATTTATTTACCTCCTCTTTATTTTGCACATTTCTCATACCACAGGTATTGAAGCCCCTGAGTGATAATTTGATGGAGGATAACATGAGGCAGTCTGTAACAAACTCTATCAAAGCAGGCCTGACCGAACAGGTGTCTCATCGTGCCCGATTAAAGACAGACTGACCATTCATCTCCTCTTCAACTCTGCCCTCTCATCCTAGACATGCTGTACAATGAGAACTCAATAAAAATAAACCAAAGTTTACAATCAACTATAGAAGTAGTTTAGTGTGACTGGCTTCACTGATTGGTGCCATCAAGTGTGAAAAATAAGTTTGTCAACATTAAGCATTCTCTTTAATCTGCTTCTAAGACAGACCAGTGCCATGGAGACTGGTAAGTGCGGGGACTCTACATGCGGTTTTAGTGTGTTGTGCACGTGTCCCAGGGTGAGTGACGTTCCGCCTTTCCTGAGATGGTGCAGTCTGGCGTGCAATGGAAACGTATCCTCTCTACAAGGATATTTCAGGGAAGTAATTGTCAAATGTGTACAAGGAAATCATGTAACAGTGTGTTTAGCCACCCAATATCCCATTGGAACTTTTAACTTCTGGAGGATTTATAAAATCACTGTATCAAGAGTCAAATTGAAACGTCAGTGAAGCCATTATTGAGCCACTGTATAAAGAGGATCTTGCTTGACTGCTTTTTACACCAGTGTTATCCGAATGCATGTTGGTTCCTTACAAAAAATGACATTAGAACTAACTATTGTAACTAAGGAAGTGATTCCAAGTGTACATTTGTCTTGCCTTTTTGATTCACACACTTTGTCGGAGAGGCACATCAGGAAACTGAGCTGTCTTTTTCTGCAGTTTAGCCTTCGTGCGTATAATAATACGCCATTGACGTTCCTGGAGGGCAATTCCATCCAAAAAAAGTTGCCTACAGCTAGGAAGCAGTGAGTGAGGGTGGTTTGTACAGCGTGTTGAGTTTTTATTTTTAAGAAGTCAGATAGGGCGTGTACATGAAATATAAATATATAAATACAATTTTGTATCAAAGTTTTGTAGTTTATGGCAAAACCTGGTTCTTCGGTAGGCTAAGTACAGTCCCTGTGATGGAATGCTTGTGGCTCATGTAAACGTGTGAATGCATCAACAGTTCGACGTTTTTGATATAGTTGTGATATTTACCTGCCTCGAGCACTGCGATCTCTCACCCCGGGAAATCAATGGGAATGTTGGTTGTGAAACTTATTGTCCTCTGTTGCATTTTAAAGTTATTTCCTGTAATTTATTTTCAGTACATGATTAAACTAAGTTGTGTATATATTAAATGAAACTCCTCTCTTATTTAAGAAATGGTGTTTACATGTACTCACTCTATAAATCATGCCAGCTATTTAATCTGAAAAGATAAAACAAGAATTGCATGCTGTACTTAGCACAAATATATGCTCCAGCTTTTAATGAAGATGAACCTGAAAGTATATTGGTCCCCTTTCATGCTGGAATGTCTGTCTTTGAAAGAGAACACTTTGTCTAGCAAGTCTTGTGTGTTTTTTTTAAAAAAACACACACACAAAAGTGGTGGTGGTGGTGGTATAAGATCTCATCCTAATTAATACCCCACAAAGCACACTAGGTCACTTGTTGAGTTGCATGTCAGTTTCCAAACTTCATTGATTGTATTTTTCAGAAACTTGGTTTTGTTATGGATTGTGACCTTCAGTTCCATATGTATTAAGCTGATATGAATGAAAATGTTTTCAAATATATATAAGACAACTTAAGAAGGGTAACTAAATAGCATCTTAACTATTTCAGTTTCACCTGAAAATGATCAGTTGCGCAGTGGATTGTTTTGCATCCCTAGTTACTTACCTAGTAGCAAAAGCATGAAACTGATTGGTTAAAGCTCCTAGAATTTTTTTTCAGACAAATCAAGGAATCAAGTGAAGTCTAAAAATAACATGCACTAGGCATAAGGGAATTCTGCCATGATTGTTTCATGCAATAGGCAATAAATTCAGATAGGGAAACACCTGGAACATCAATGTAGCTTGTCTATTTTTTTTCTGGAGTAGCAGGTGTTTTGAGTCTGGAGAAAGTCTTTGTTTAACTGAGACAAGGTATGTGAGGTAATATCTTTTATTGGACCAACTTTTGTTGGTGAAAGAGACAACCCTTCAAGCTACAAAAACTCAAACAGGCATGTATATTGGGTTATGTGGTTTCTTTAAAATTTAACAAGATGGGATGCAGTTTAAAGTACAGCAAATAGAACTTTTGAAGGTTTTTTTGGTTGGTGTTGGACAATCTAGTAAATTACAACAAAGATAAATGAGAATTCTACAATGCCTTCACAATGGTGCCAATTTACTCCATCATAGAATCATAGAATATCAGGGTTGGAAGGGACCTCAGGAGGTCATCTAGTCCAACCTCCTGCTCGAAGCAGGACCAATCCCCAATTAAATCATCCCAGCCAGGGCTTTGTCAAGCCTGACCTTAAAAACTTCCAAGGAAGAAGATTCCACCACCTCCCTAGGTAATGCATTCCAGTGTTTCACCACTCTCCTAGTGAAAAAGTTTTTCTTAATATCCAACCTAAACCTCCCCTACTGCAACTTGAGACCATTACTCCTTGTCCTGTCCTCTTCTACCACTGAGAATAGTCTAGAACCCTCCTCTCTGGAACCACCTCTCAGGTAGTTGAAAGCAGCTATCAAATCCCCCCTCATTGTTCTCTTCTGCAGACTAAACAATCCCAGTTCCCTCAGCCTCTCCTCATAAGTCATATGTTCCAGACCCCTAATCATTTTTGTTGCTCTTCGCTGGACTCTCTCCAATTTATCCACATCCTTCTTGTAGTGTGGGGCCCAAAACTGGACACAGTACTCCAGATGAGGCCTCACCAATGTCGAATAGAGGGGGACGATTACGTCCCTCGATCTGCTCGCTATGCCCCTACTTATACAGCCCAAAATGCCATTGGCCTTCTTGGCAACAAGGGCACACTGCTGACTCATATCCAGCTTCTCGTCCACTGTCACCCCTAGGTCCTTTTCCGCAGAACTGCTGCTGAGCCATTCGGTCCCTAGTCTGTAGCGGTGCATTGGGTTCTTCCGTCCTAAGTGCAGGACCCTGCACTTATCCTTATTGAACCTCATCAGATTTCTTTTGGCCCAATCCTCCAATTTGTCTAGGTCCTTCTGTATCCTATCCCTGCCCTCCAGCGTATCTACCACTCCTCCCAGTTTAGTATCATCTGCAAATTTGCTGTGAGTGCAATCCACACCATCCTCCAGATCATTTATGAAGATATTGAACAAAACCAGCTCCAGGACTGACCCTTGGGGCACTCCACTTGACACCGGCTGCCAACTAGACATGGAGCCATTGATCACTACCCGTTGAGCCCAACAATCTAGCCAACTTTCTACCCACTTATAGTGCATTCATCCAGCCCATACTTCTTTAACTTGCTGACAAGAAGCATTCTCTTCTTTCTGAAGGATTGTCGACCTCACTTCACAGCCCCTGAAGGTGCAGCCTTTCTAACACTCCTGGCAGTGCTGGCCATCAAGTTGTGGTGGAAGGATGTGTGTCACCTGTAGAAGAATTGTCCCAAAACCATCTGCTCCTTGGATGTCTTGCTAGAAACCTATACACAAATGTTAGCCTGATGGGATCCTAAAATACAATCAAATGACTGCAGGCAACACTTCTTGGGTTCCCAATTCTGGCTCTAAAGTGGAAGATTTGACATGCCTTCTACAGTATATGGTTTGACTTCTGCACGGTCTACTTTGTTTCAGAAAACTTTTGTCTTAAACCCACTGAGTAAGTTAAACTTCAGTTTATTTCAGTATTCCTGAACTGCTTTCCATCTCTGTACCAATACCTGTCTTTCATCCAGGTTTCTTCAAGAGGAATTCTATGCCTGTCAACTGGCTTGTTATAGGCTACCATAAGGATTTCACCTGAAACTGTGTTTTAACACTGAAGCTCCCCTCCCTTCAGCTGGAAGCCCTTTTGTAGGTGGCTGCTTGTATCCAAGACTGTTGTGCAAGAGTAGAATGGAGCATTCATGCCAGCTGTATGTACAGGCCTTCAACTTTCATCTCCCTTTTCGTGGCAACAAGAGGAAAAAGCTACTGCTGAAGCCAGGAGTCTGGCTGACTTATAACATGAGTGCTGCTCTAACACTCAAGAAAAACTGTGTGTGATGTTCTGACTCAAATTCTAAACCAATGTCCATCTCTCAACCCATGTTGTGGAGCCAAGGATCCAGCAGGTGCTTGAAGTGGCCTCTTCAGCATTGACAATTTTTGTGATTTTTTTTAAACTTTCTTAAAGCTCCAGTTGTCATGATTACACCAAAATCTCAGCTGCTTAAATCTTGTAAAGGCTTTAAAACTTAAGCTTAAAAATCATTTCTAAAATACATCTGTCTTCTGTTTCTAAGTAGCAGAGCACCTCGCCCCCTCTACGGGGGTGCTGTAAGGCCAGTACTGCACTGTTGGGCAGTGTTACCCTCTTGCACAGAGCTGAAGGGCTCTGTTTAGTCACACTGTCCAACAGCCCAGGGATTAGCACAATTACATGGGATCTGGAAGCCCTGTTTTCAGATCCTAGCTCTGCCTGATTTGGAGCAGGGTCTTCAATCCAGGTTTTCCACATCACAGGTGCACCTCCTAACCACTTTGCTGTGGGTAGGTGTCTCTACCCCCCTCCTCCATGCAAAAGGGCTGGCCTGTTTGAGGTACCTAACTTCAGCAGTGGCAGTGTGACTGCCTCCCAAACAAAGTTGTGTCTCCCTGCCTCTGAGCAGGCCACACCCCTCCTTGTCGCTTCCTAGGGACTAGCTTACACAGCTCTCTACTCAGCTTCAGTGAATCCCATTCTTTGGTGCCTGCCACCCATGTTAAGTGAGCTAAGCATCTGAAATCACCTGCTTCTAAAGCTAGTCAAATATCAGCTCAACAGATGGATAAATGTGGGCATGCACTATAGGTGAAATAAAGTGGATTCCTGTTACAATCTCTATCCTTAATACAGTTGATTCATCCTCAGCTCTAACTAATTCTGCAACTTCCATTAATTTTAGATACTTTATTGGCTCCGAACATTATTGGCTCCAAACAAATAGATTCTGAATGTGTGGCTGACACTAAGCATGTTCTAAAGACTGAACACTAGTGGTGGAAAAAGGTTGGCTGAGCCCCCCCCTTGTCCTTGCCTAGAACTGACAGTAGCTGCCCTTT